TTGGCCTCACACCATTTTCCTTCTGATTCCCTAGCGTGGTACAGTAGAGATGGCAGATCCACCTTTGTCCAGTTTTCTCCTGATGGACAGTTCCCCTACACAGCGAGAATATACACTTTGACTCAATTCACACAACAGCAGCATCTGATGAAGTCGGTTTTGCCCACAAAAGCTCACGATACCGTGTATATTTTAGTTAGTCTCGAAGGGTGTGTCTACACTGCACCCGTAGTTCAAAATAAGCTATGCAATTTGAGCTATGCAAATTGTGTCGCTTATTTCTAGTTAATTTTGAAATAGCTTATTTCAAAATTTGGTGCTGTCTACACAGCACTTATTTCAAAATAAATCGCTTTTCCAAAATGTCCCTTGCACCTCATGAAATGAGGTTTACAGGGATGTTGGAATAGCGAGCCCGTTATATTTCGAAATAACAGACGCACTCAAAAGACATGGAGGTATTCCGAAATAGCGCTGCAGAGTAGACACTGCCTAAAGTGTCTATTTGTTGTTTTTAAAATTACAGACTAACACATCTATCCCTCTGAGACTATGTATCAAGATGGTTGAGAAATATAAATTAAAGTTTGGCATGTCATAGAAGCCCAAGGGAATTAGGAGCTCTGCATCAAGATTCAGCATTTATCTCCCTTAGAATCACTGCACTGAAAATCCCAATGAATATTATATAGTCATACATGTACAAAACATTGTTTGGACAGGTAACTCCAAAAGGATCTAAAACAGGAGTGGGGAACCTCAGGCACAGGGAGCAGATACGGTCTCTGGCTTGCCTGGATCTGGCCCCCAAGGCACAGGGCCCTCCCCCACAGCACTGGGGAGTGCACACTGGCTCTCCAGCCCTCCCACTGCGGGACTGGAACACACAAAATCTGGTAGGCTGGGCTCTTCACTCTGGTGTGCAAGAGGAATGTGGGCAGTGTCTTTCTCCTTAGAACAGTGTTTCTTAAAGTGTGTTCCGTGGCACACCAGTGTTCCACGAGGCAGTCGGAGGTGTGCCATGGAGAACAGAGTTCAAAATGGCTGCCGTTAAAGGTGCACGCTTTCTTTCTTTCTTTTTTTTTGGTTCAACAAATTTTGGCTCAACAAAAAACCCTTGGTGTTCTGCATAAAAAAAATTATTGTTTGGTGTTCCTCGGTCTTAAAAAGTTTAAGAAAAACTGCCTTAGAACATAAGAATGGCCATACTGGGTCAGACCAAAGGTCCATCTAGCCCAGTATCCTGTCTGCCGACAGTGGCCAATACCGGTTGTCCCAGAGGGAGGGAACACAACAGGTAATCCTCACATGATCCCTTTTTAAATACTGGTGTCTTTTACTTGATTGTTAAGCCACAGTGGCACTTTTTTGGTTCGTTTACTGTGTTTTTTAATTTGGAGTATACATTTAAGTTGTGCCCACCAGCAGCCTCACACCACTCAAAGCAGCTGGCTGTTCCATGTGTCTCTCTGTATCACATGCCAGCCAATAGGAACTGAGAGATTTTACTAGGGATGGGGGCAGTGTGAAAAGCCTCTCTCCCTCCCCAGCACATGGTACAGAGAGCCACATGGAACAACCAGATGCTTGGAGCAGTGTGGGGCTACTCTGTGTCTGAAGGTCCCAGGGGAGAGGGCTGTGAGCCGGATTAAAAGTCTTGGAGGGCCAGATCCTGTCTGTGGGCTGTATCTTGTCTTTCTCTGTTTTACATGCATACATGGATACCTATAATATTTGTTAGATTAATAAATACATAGTAGAAACTGAAAGGAATATCTGTTTGGATAAGCAAGTTGAATAAAATTGCTGATCCATTCATTTTCACAAGGAAAGAAAAAACAAAGACATTACGCTGTTTGTTATTTTTTTCATAGGCAAGTAAAGATTGAGAAAATGATCACTCATCATTATAATCCCAATCTCAGGTCTATAATCCTGAAAAGGAAACCTGCACTAAATAAAAATTAAGTCTACCAGGGGCTGTTGAAGCTTAGGGTCTCTAAAGAATTATTTTCAAGTTCCTCTCCATGAAGGATATTAAGAGTAATAAAGTAGCTGCAATTGTGGCTTTCTAGAAAGTGTTTTTACTAGGCAATTCTAGAAAGGATAACTCAGAGGTTGTGTTGCTGTGCTTGTGGTACACTGCCTTGGCTAATGGGTATATAGTAAGTACATTTTTGTTGGCATCTGGTTTAAACTATATTTTAATGTGTAAAAATTGAAAAATTCTTGGCAGAACTCCACAGCCTACAAAAAATGTTCCTCTTGAAAACTAGTTACGAGTTAATGATAATTCCACTTTGGGCAGGAAGGAAGGATTTAGACTGGATGTCACTGAGTGACTCGGGAGAATGTTCATCACAGTCCTGCTTTCTGTTACTCAAGTCCTGTTAAAAAAACCAAAAACGCTCTACTTGTATGAGATACATTAATGATATTTCTACAGAAGCAAGTTACATTTAAAAGTATTGAACAATCCTGAGTACATGAAAACTTTGTGATTAGTGTTCAGTTACAATAAACTTTATGATGCATTGTCTTAAAAGCAAATGAAAATATTAAGATGTAGACATTCTAAATGATTCAGGCAGAACCCTTACACTGAGTTAAATACAGTGAAACACCATAGTTACTGAAGTGCAATTCAAGCCCTGATTTATTTCTGTGTATTACCATGAATGGATTGCAATTTTGGATACAGCAAACATTATTCCCATTCACTTCAATGGACTTTCGATCAAGCCCACTTTGAAGTTCTTCTGTAAAAGCAAACCTTCGAATACCCTGAAAATAACCAATATGCAAAGTCATAGAAGTATGTGATCAGATGCATGAATTCTCCTCTCATGAAAGAAAACAGCAGCTGTTACATTAACTCAATTTAAATAAAAATATACATATTTAAAATGGTTAACGAGAATGATTATGTGTATGAATCTTTTGTAAACAAAGGGTACAGAACATGAATGCATCTAGCTTTGACTTTTACAGAAAGACAGTCACTTGAAAACAAACACATAATTGCTGACATTTGACCATGGCAAACAAGGGCATTTGGAGGGAATATTTAGAGATACATCTTATAACTCCATTGTAATAGGGCCTTGATCCTGCAAATGTTACACATATGCTTTACTCTAATCATGTAGCATAGTCCTGTTGCAATCTATGCCCTGGTCTACACTAGGACTTTATTTCAAAATAATCTCACTTAGGTCAAATTTATAAGCAGAGCGCCCTCACTTTCAAAATAAAAGGCCGCTTATTATGAAATCGGTACTCCTGCTTTTCTAGGGGAATAATGCTAATTTCAAAATAGTTATTCTGAAATAGCATTAGTGTGGATGCTCCAGTGCCGCTATTTCAAAATTACTACTCCCTGGAGTAATTTGAACAAACTATTGGGAAGCCTCTAAATTAGTCCGAGGCAGGCTCTGTTAATGAGGATATGCTACCTTGATTTAGAGCCCCAGGAAGCACTGGGGAGTAATTTGAACAATTACAGTGCTTCCTGGGGCTCCAAGTCAAGGTAGCACATCCTCATTAACAGAGCCTGCCTTGGACTAATTTAGAGGCTTCCCAACAGTGGGGACACGCTATTTCAGTTTTCTTAAATTGGGAGTTATTAAGTCAAATTTAGTTATTTCATAATAGTTTCCTAGTGTAGACATGCCCTTTGGGATTGTTCCTGTACTCGGTGTTAAAACACATGCCTAAAGCATGTGGGACATTGGAAGAGCATTTTGGAAGAAAATGATGGGGGGAAAAAGTAAAAGAACACTGCTAATGATTTGTTTAGCTACTAACAAATGCCATACAAAAATAGTACATTGCACACACGAAAGCAGCAGTTTGTCCTTACTCCTCAGCAAAGATTAGAGGGTGAAGATTTGTGGTGAGGTGCCATATTAATAACCAAGATCTTGTCACTTTTTGGCAAATTACAGTACCACTTATTAGGAATCAGTATTATAAATAGTTAACTGATCCTTGCTGCGTACAAGAACAAAGCCCATAAAGTAGTACAGAAATGTACTTCTGTGTTTGTTTGTGTATTTGCTAATTGGCAACATTCAACGATGGGTCTCCTGTCATGCACATGAATTGGTGAGCATCTGCTGCATTTTGTTTTATAATAAATAAACACATACACACATATTCTCTTCAGTAGAGAGAGTAGGTCTGCAAGAAATGACACAGATATATGGTTTGAGAAATGACAGCAAGGCAGCTTAAAAAGCAGAGGCACAATCAATACGAACTACAATCTTTAACCTAGCAGCCCAAAAGTACAATGGCCAAATATGCCTTTAAAAACATTCCAGTAAAATGGGCAGATGATACAGAAGAAACTTTGAGTCAAAGACAAGGAAACAAGATATTAAAAAATGTAAATGAGGAGGAAATTATAAAAAAGCATAAAGCTCCTCTCCCTAAGGGAACAGCTGTGTATGCTAATCCCTTCTGGGCTGCTCCTTTTGGATCTCCCTTCCTTCCTTCCTCCGTCCTTCTCTAATAGCTCCCTTGTTCCTGCTGGACAAAACTAGCCCTTTGTGGCTGCTTTCAGAACAACATTAAAAACAGGAATAGGGAAATTGTAAACAGGAGGCTTCTGGCCTACAGGCCAAGGCACACACAGGCCTCTGAGGCCTACTTCATGCTAAGCAAAGAAACAGATCTTTGTTGCTAAAGGGATTAGGGCTGCGGGATTTCTGAGGCACTGCTAAGGCATTCAGCTGGCCTGAAGTAGGGGCTTTGTAAGGAGATACCTCCATTAGATATCTGTGAGCGGAAATCATTCATACTCTTTATACAATCTGGGTAATGTGATATTGTTGGACTGTTAAACAGCTCGAGTGAAGCAGGGCCCTATCTACTTGAATGGTGAATTCTTCAGCAGCTAAATAGATGGTGGTATAATTACCTTAACTGACTTTAAAAAGAAGTGACTGATCTTTAACTCTTAGCTGGTGTAATAAAAAGCAATCACAATGAGATACCTGGAAGCTGCAGTCAGAGGTTTGCTAAGAAATTGCATGGAAATGGACTTCCAAATCCGGCTCATCATCTGAATCACATTTATCCAAAACAGGTTCATGTCCCACGATACTCATTTACTGTATTGTCAGTGCCTTCTGTAATCTGAGACTTTCATAATCCAAATGAATCTCCTGGAGAGCACAGAATACAATTAGTCAAAATTGCAGCATATCTTTAACAGTACCATCGCGTTGCACAGTTATGGTCCACAACACTACAGTTTACAATAGAACTATTGCATTGTTTGGAGTTAATACTAAAAAATACTGTATCTTTTAAATTAATAAAAATAACTCCCGTTTATCTATAGTACTTAGATATACTATAACTGGTTATTATCATATATTCTATGATTATATTATATCATTGGTATGTTTCACAGTTAATCTCTAATCAAATTATTCTGCTAAGCACAAAAGCCATAAAGACAGAGACTTTCCGGGACACTGTAGTACTGTCCCACCTCCATTCTGAGAGCCCCAGTGCTCTTAAGGAGGATGAAAGTCTCAAGGGAACAGAGCATTTAATGGGAGCAGAGGGAAACCATCCCGTAGTTGGGACCCTCCTCCCAGAGGATGTTGCGGTATCCTCTTGCACTGAGGATACCTCTGATGGGGAGGGAATGCCAGCTAGGAAGAGGCAGGTGTTAGTAGTGGGTGATTCGATCGTTAGAAACATAGATAGTTGGGTTTGTGATGACCGGGAGAACCGTATGGTCACGTGCCTGCCTGGTGCGAAGGTTGCGGATCTCTCAAGGCATCTAGATAGACTTATGTGTAGTGCTGGGGAGGAGCCGGTGGTCGTGGTACATGTAGGTACCAATGATGTAGGGAAGGGTAGGAGAGATGTCCTGGAGGCCAAATTTAGGCTGCTAGGAAAGAGACTGAAATCCAGGACCTCTATGGTGGCATTCTCGGAAATGCTTCCAGTTCCACGCGCAGGGCCAGGTAGGCAGGCAGAGCTTCAGAGTCTCAATGCGTGGATGAGATGATGGTGTAGAGAAGAGGGGTTTAGATTTATTAGGAACTGGGGACACTTTTGGGAGAGGGGGAGCCTATACAGGAAGGATGGGCTCCACCTAAACCAGGGTGGAACCAGACTGCTGGCACTAAACATTAATAAGGCCGTAGAGCAGTTTTTAAACTAAGAGATGGAGGAAAGCCGATTGGTGCGGAGATGCACGTAAATCGGAGAGAGACT